TGTCCCTGAGAAATATAAGGTGGGAGTATTACTTTTTTCCATAACAGCTGTTAGGCCCCTCCATAACATGAACTGACGTTAAAACGAGCTAACGCTATTTATTGATTAATCTTTTCTTTTTTGTCTTCCCTGGGCACCGGAAGGTTTGGTCGTTTTGACATTGTTAATGGTTTCTGTCTCTCAGAGAGCAGGTAGAGTCTAATCAGTCAGNNAGTTAAATTAATGTGGGCTTTTTTTCATACTAAGAAATAATAGCACCAACTAGTTTTAGTATAAAAATATTGAAAGTTGCACCTTTTTTTTTTTTCCCCATTGTGGCGCCCCCTAGATGGACGGCGCCCTTAGCATTTGCCTATAATGCCTATGCCACGGGCGGCACTGAGTAAACACTGAGTGCGTCCTCTAAGGATGGACCCAAGGGAACATCGAAAAACACCTAGACACAAAATCGGTAACTCTCAGAGTACATGTCAGTAGGAGAAATGCTAATTTGAAATAAAAACACTCTTTGTAACAAACATATTTAAAAATAAAAAGACTTAACCAAAAGAAAACATTCTCACTCTTATAGCAACTCCATATTAACTGTTTAAAAAGAAAAAGAGATTCTGCCTTTTGTTTGATTATCATATAAATAATGATATTACATACACATTATGGTATGCCATTTAGAAAATTATCATTATATTATAATTACTATGTATACATTTATACATATCTAGATACATATTGTATGAATAATACAAATCATTTGGCACCCCTTAATTTTACACTTGTCTGGTGTGTAACATTTCTATTGGCAAGAATGAAATATAATATAGGTATGTTTTATTATGTATACATTGCAAATTAAATTATTTAAAATTACTAAGGAATGTCTGTGTTAACTTTTAAAAAGCAATTTAAACATATTTTTATAAGATGGCATTTTTATGTCTGTCAGTGCTCTCATGTATTTCATGTGATGTCGCATGTTTACAGAGATATTAAATGTATGTGTGTATGTATGTGTATATACAATGTATCTATCAACTTATTTTACTAATTAAATGTTTTATTTTTGTTCTTTATCTTTTTTAGTGATGCTCTATTTTAATAGTTCATTTTATTGTTTTTACTTTTACTTAATACTTGTATTTCTTGTGAAGTTCTTTAAAACATTTCTTTTCAAAAGTGCTGTACACATCAAGTTTATGATGATAATGACTATTATTACTCTGTCCAGTCCCTTGCCTTTTTGTGCCTGCTATAAGCCCTCCACAGCAATTCATCATTCACTGTGCTGATATTGAGTAAGGTGTCAATTCAATGATCCTCTGTTACCTTCACAGCTCATTTTCAGGGACTCTCGATAAGTGGACGTTTGGATGCCTAATGAAGCCAGAGAGGCTGAGGGTTGTTTGATTTTAGTGGTGTCAATACACTGTCACTGTCTCAGTGTTGTCCTTATGCACAAGAAAAATGACTTTCTTCGTAGGCACACATTTACACGATAGCAACATGTCATTATCACTAGGTCTATGCACAGTTGCCAGGTTGTGTTTGCTAAAAAATGTGGGCTACTTTAATGAATAGTGAAAGACTGAGTTATAATTAAGAACCAAGGTGTCAGTGACAGTGTAGCTGTTCTGTAATCAGTCAAAATATTTATCATCTTTGATATTAATAACATGTAGGATTCATATTTATTGAACCCTCCCCATCTTTAAGACTGGTTTGGGAGTTGTTTTTAGTTTATTCTGGATAATTATATTATGGACATTGTATTTAAGGTCAATTGGCCACAGCTATCCATACTTTTCCAGTCTAGCATCCAAAAAAGTGTTTACAGAGTCAGGTTGTTCATGTATGTAGGCTATAAGTGTACACATAAGGAAGAGAAAAAGAACAATATCTGCCTTTCAAACCACACCTTTGTTGCTTTTGAGCTTAATTAAGGAATGTTGATAAACTCTTTCTAGCCTACTTGCAGTTCACCTGAACAATATTTATGCAAGTCTTCTAGTTCCCATGACATGGACCCTGTTAACTGAGGCTGTTTTCTCCTCTTGTGCTGATCATTTAGTAACTTTCTATATTTTTTGTCTAGCTTTAAAGTTCCAGTGTAACATTTAAGATGATCTATTTGCAGAAATTTAATATAATATTCATAGGTATGCTTCCATTAGTGTTTAATCACCTGAAAATAAGAATTGTGTTTTCATTAGAATGAGCCATTTTTATCTACAGAGGGAGCAAGTCCTCTTTTATAGAGGCTTATATAGAGGCTGCTATATGTAATTTGTGCTGCTAGGGGATCTCTCACATTGAAACAATAACAAAAGATGAAGTTTAATGACATTGTAAAGTAGCGTGGGATCATGGGAGTGTCTTTACCACCATCCCATCAATGCAGTCAGCTTCTCCTGGTTAGGATTCCTTCAGGAGGTTTCTACCAGGAGCCAAATTATCTTGTCCTCTCTGACCCAATGACTAACACCGGTAGAAACCCTGATTAAAGCTTGTTCCTCTGATAACTCAAGATCCAGACATCTAATGACTACAATTCTTCATCCGGTTCAAATATAGAATCAAAAACTACCAAGACCTAAAAAGTATATGATAAATGTGTGGCTTAAAACTGGATAAAAAGTCAATTTATGACAGCTTCTGGCAGACAACCACAGCATGCACAAAGATATGATGCCATTTACAGGCGACTGGTCAAACCCAGCTTTACCTGAATAAAATGACAGATTTCTCTTTGTTTGAACATAGTTGGAAACAACAATTGTTGGCATAATGTAGTACACATCTCAGCAAAACATAGGTCTAGTCTTTATTGACATTTTAAAATGTTACATATTCTAGCTCAAATCTCTGCGGCCAATGAATATCTTATTATGGAATCTTTCATTCACTAAAGTGACTGAACGCTCAAAAAAAGACTTCACCAAATAGGCAGTTTGGGGTGAGGGTACCCCCCTCACAAACACCATTTTCACTCACAGCTAATGGGAAAGTGAAGAAGATCAAGGTTAGACTGTTACAGATGAGTGACTAAATCTGTTGGCCCGTTATCACAAGACACTGAAATACAAACAGTCCAAATGTTTTCATAGCTGGAATCAGATTCCATAAAATGCCCCATTCCTATTTGGGTAAAACTGTTTCTATTGGACATCAGGATCTTCACTGTTATCACTCTCTCTCTCTCTCTCTCTCTCCCTCTCTCTCTGTCTGTATCTGCGTTTTTGTCTCTTACAGCGCTCTACATCAGGAGACGGTCTAAGTCATCCTGATCCACCTTAAGAGTTCAGTTACTGTACAGATACTTTGGTAGGGGACCTGTGGATCAAAGAGGTGCCAGACCCCATGTCTGGATTTGAGGGCGTCTCAGAGATGCTGAATCCAATGCTTTTGGAATTTACGGAGCAGTAACGGGCTAAACTTACACTGAGACTTGTATAAGCAGCGCATCAGCAGAAAAAGTGTGGAGAAGAGAGGGAAGAGGACGCCGAGGGGAGGGGGGCACTGCTTTAAAAACTTTATAAACATTACCAACAAAGTGTAGCTCCGCTACATTTTTTTTTCTTTAAGCGGGTTCCTCTCCAGCCAGCAAAATTTCACCCAAAAGCAGACAACAGGATCGTCCTGCGCTGACGCGACTGGTCGGCAGGAAGCGGCTGGTGGCGGCGGGGGTCCTGGGGGTCGTTATGGTTCTGGTTTTGGTTATTCTCATCCCAGTTCTCGTCAACACAGCGGGGACGGCGGCGCACTACGAGATGCTCGGTACCTGTAGGATGGTGTGCGACCCTTATGGCACCAAATCTCCGAGCAGCACCGCTACGGCAGACACGGTCAGAGACAGCAGCCTCGTTCAGTCTTTACCCACTTTTATCCAAGGTCCAAAAGGGGAATCAGGTCGTCCAGGTAAGGCAGGTCCGAGGGGACCTCCCGGCGAAGCAGGACAGCCCGGCCCAGCGGGGCCACCTGGAGAGAAAGGTGATCCGGGCAGACCTGGTTTACCAGGACCTCCAGGACCCAACGCTGCTGCCGGCGCAATAAGCGCAGCCACCTACAGCACCGTGCCCAAGATCGCCTTTTACGCAGGGCTGAAAAAGCAACACGAGGGCTACGAGATGCTCAAGTTCGACGACGTGGTGACAAACCTGGGAAACCATTACGATCCGACCACCGGGAAGTTTACGTGCTCCATCCCCGGGATTTATTTCTTCACTTACCACGTCCTGATGCGCGGAGGGGACGGCACCAGTATGTGGGCTGATCTGTGCAAAAACAACCAGGTAATAGGAATTGTGTACAAATTAACGAATAGTAATGATGCAATCTTACTACAGTGTTTATTTTTGAAAAGCTTGTTGTTTGAGTAAACGGAGTCAACACTGTTCTGTTCCGCTCTGTCTTTTATTACTATGCAGTAATAAAGTAAGGTTAGTATGAAAAAAAAAACAAGGCAAGAGGGTGTGTGTGTGTGTGTGTGTGTGTGTGTTGGTGGATACAAACACTTGTACAGGGAATTGGTACCTAGAGGCAGGAAGCAAAGCCTGGTGATGGATTTGATCGATGGGTTTAACGGGTCAGAGGTCAGAATCTGGTGTCGTCCTCCATCACTGAGACTGGATGGAACGAAGTCTGAGCGCTTATTAAAATGTATTATATTATATTCCTATAATTTAACTTCTGCCCTATTTTATATATTAGATTCTGTTTTTTTTATTTTATGAGCATGGTTGGAGGGATCGTGGGAACCTGGGAAGATTTAACCCTGTGAGTGTTTTTACATTTGATTTTTGATCTTCATTTCAGATGTTTTAAAATGTCCTTTAAACAGGTTTATTTCTCCATATTTTACATCTCTTTCCACAATATAAATAATTATTAAGTATGATATGTAACCGTAAATGTCTCTTATGTATATGTAATCACCTCATATACTGTCTAAGCTGCAGAAATGCATCATGTTTGATGGTTGGATGTTTGAGGCAAAATAAATGAATGAATACATAAATACACATTTTGTCCAACTGCGGTAAATGCCAAATGTTACTGTAAAATTTAAAGTGTGTTCCAGCTCCAGCTTATAGTTTAGATATTAAAATAGTAATATTAATATCATTCTGTCATAGTTAAATGAATGCATTAAGGGAAAATGTGTGGTCAGCTTTAGAAATAGGTTTACACCTGGAGGTAACAATTTATGAGTATAATTCCAAAAGTAAAAACAAAGAAAAACGAAGAAAAACACCCCAAAGTACACTACATAGGACTACTGCTGAAACAACAACATAATAATAATAATAATAATAATAATAATAATAATAATAATAAAACGCCTGATGACCTACAGAGGCCCTTTGCTGTCTCCTGACTCCTCTGTTGTGTTTGTCCTGCTCTCTGTAGTGATCAGGCTGTCAGCAACAGATCTAATCCGTGGGGCAAACTAGTGTTGCAGTGTTGCTCCACCAAGCACATCCCTCCTGTCAGCTGGCTACTGTAACACACACCGAACACAGCAAACATCTCTGGGATTAAACCAGCAGAGCTGCACGCCATGAAAAATCAGATGCTGAAAGACATGTTTCAATTAGGTGTACTGCTCCTGAGACTTTCAAACATGTTTAGAGGAGGAAAAAAATACAATTCTGTGAACACAAGGGACTGCTTTTCGCTTGATTTGAATAATTAAAATAACTTTTAAAATGTGATTTCAGTAGTTGAAGCAACTCATTTCACTACGAAGTAATTGGTGGAATGATCAAAAGCCTTTTACTTATTTGTTGCAATCAGCCGCATCCTGTATGGTTTAAAGATACTGTTTTTTTCCTTGATTTAAGAAGAGTTTGAAGTGCAAACATTGTGCAAAAATTCTTCCCTTTTTAACACCTGGGGACATCTTTGCATGAAAATAAAATAATTAATACAATTAATGCTGTAATGGAGTGATAGTGACAATAATTTGAGATGTATTAGCATGCAAGTATAATAATAATAATAATAATAATAATAATAATAACAATAATAATAATAATCTAAAAATACTGAAAAAAATAAAATACTGATGTCACATGAGATTGAAAAGTTAATTCTGAGATTGTGATTCAAAAGCTTCACTATATAAATGAATTTCTGAAAATGGACCATTGTGATTCAGTCATTCTTTAATTCTTTAGCAACCTATAATTATTTGGCATCTGGATTCATAATGATGTTACCATGAAAGTGCAAGCTGCCAGATAAAGGTGCAACTGTTTGGCATTTTATTTCCTGTAAATATGCAAGGCAAGTTTAGTCTTCTTTTGGTCCATACAGCTGCACACTTATAACCAAAAAATTTAATTAAGATCAATCCCGTCCCTACTGAGGTCTTCAAGTTTGTGTAAAATTATCATAAAAGTCAGACACCTGTTCTCCCGAAATTCCAAGAAAGGAGAATGCAGATATGTCTTCTCTTATGACTGCTGCTGTTTGTTCAAAGTATTTTGTTAGAGTGTCATTCTAAATTGTATCCAGACTGTCCTTCTACAGATCCATACTGACATCCTCTCTGTATTATATAATAGAAAAAACAATGGCACCATATAAAATATTGCAGGAAATGAGCAGGTTATGTTTTCATAATTTTGCTGTAAAATAAAATTTTAAGGGAGGCTTAAAGTCTTACTAACACTGATGGATTTTATTAAAAATAGAATAAAGGGGATTAACGTGGGTAAATTATTTTCACACTCAAGTTTTTACACACACATAGGCCTGAAATACAGGGTAGATATGCAAATGTGGCGACATAGTTGAGTGATGGCCTGCCACATAGCTACACCCTAGGAGCAGTTAAGGGTTTGGTGTCTTACTCAGGGAATCTCAGCAGTTCCCAGGAGGTGGAACTGGCTCAAGCTACCAGGCCACACTCTATACTGGGTCCATGCTGAACCTTAACCAGCGACCCTCCGCTTTACCAGCCAAGTAACTACTGCTGCCCAAACTTTAAACTAAAGTTCAAAACTTGGTCAGGACATCCATAAATGATACTACCAAGTGTGACCTTATCGTGACATCATCCATCAGTTTGTCTCAAGCCTCAAGTTTGGCATTATGGTTGTTGCCATGACAGTTTGTTGGAGCCAGCGGATGTTTCGTATTGCTAGTTGAGCTGCTCTCATTGGCTGCGCATTTTCGACTCAGTCATAAAAGGAAACAATGGTGGCTTGCCTGGTAATGCACACTCTTATTACAGGTAATGAGTATACTGAAATATATTTCTGGAACAATTTAAGATGAGAAATAAGCAATGCAGAATTGTTTGATCATCACTGTATAGTTTGACAGTTTGATCTGAATTTTGTGTGTTGTGCTAGATGGGACCATAATTTACAAAAGGAATCATAAAGTATGGAGTGAGACCATAAACTCATTAGAAAACTCATTAGTTGACTTGATTAATAAATCAAGTGAGAAGTCGGGTCATTCCTCCATAAGAGTGCATGGTATCGGTTTTCATTGCAGCCAATGGAGCCCTGCTGGCCATAACACTTCTGCGTACTGTCAGTACTACTACATACTGATAACTGGCAGCTCAGGACATAAATGATGTGTGTCCAGGATGTCCAGGATGCATATGTAAAATTTAGTTGGTTAAACAGATACAGATAATGGTGTGGGTGATAATCATCCCCCATTAGATTCATACAGGGATATGAATAACCATGTTATGTTGTTAAGTGTTATTGACAGATGAAGTTGATGATATGAAAACTGCATATTCAGTCATGAACATGACTTGGTGCAGGGCCATTTCTAGACATTTTTAGTGTTCTCAGCCAGACATCCACTGGGGCCTCTGTGAACTTGATCTTTTCATAACTAAATAATTTCATTGTATTATCAATTCATTCGGCTTTATTCAACACGCATTCTATATACATTTAATTTTTTACCACCTAATACTGTCCACAATTACCCAAAAGCAGCATGCACTGCCAAAATTATGACAAATCATTGTTGCAAAAATAAATTGTGTGTCACCACTAGTATGATCAAGGTTTAGTAAGATTTGGTAAGCTACAGCAACACTGACTGTTGGTAGGAGACAGGATGTGAACAGTGTTACTATCACAAGTTACTATCTGTTTGTGTCACAAAAATATTTGTATTCATATTTATAGTGGCGGGGGCCTACCCTGGCAGTTGAAATCATCTAGTCTGCTTCATTTTCTGCATTAAATTGTTTTTTACAGTATCATTTATACTATAATAACTACTGCTGCAAATACAAAACAAAACATACAAAAAATAAAATGTAATAATAAATAAAAATGGATATTTAGGAATTTAGGTACATGGATATAATTATCCATGTACCTAAATTAATCAAATAATAAAGCATAGTTTGTATTAGAATCCCACATTCAGAAAAAGAAAAAAAGTCTGAACAGAGCCTAAATTCATTTTGTGTAACTGTTAATGTCATGGATAGAAATCAAGGATTTAAAATATTAAAGCTTTTACATAGAAATTAATCTGTTACATTCCAGTCATTGTCAACCAAGTTCACACAATGTTAGGTCAGATCGTAAATCACTCACATGAAAGTAACAAGCAAATCTCAAGTCTGTAAAAAAAAAAATGTTAGTATAGTTTCTTGATCCCCTTTAGAAAATTAATTCTCTGTATTTGACCCATCCTAAGTACTAGGAGCAATGGGCAGCCACTCTCGACTCCCAGGGAGCCACTCCAGATCTGCATCAAGGGCACAGACGGGAGAATTAACCTAACCAAAGCACCTGGAGAAAACCAGCACGCATAGGGAAAACATGCAAACTCCACACAGAAAGTTGGTTGAGTGTGGCTTTGAAAAAAATTATATGCAAATTAATTAGGTTTTTTGTTTTTTGGACATCCTGACCTGGCGCCTTTCTTCTATATTTAGCGGATTCTCAATTGTGGTGGCTATTAGTCTCAAGTCTCACTAGTTAGGTTAGCTATACATTTCCAAATCCAAAATGAAAAAAGTCTCTAAAATAAAGAATTTAATCATGCTGGTATATGGCTTCAGACAGATTTTTATCTTATTTTTTTGGCCAAGAATGTTTGCTTTGATGGTAAAGTTTTCTGACCCCTGGTGTTGTGGATCTGTTTACATCCACATACTGTGCACAACTTATCTCTCAATCTATGCAGCTACTGTACGCGCATGCACCTGACAGATTGCTGAATGATTGAAAATGGGACTGAAAGGGTCAGGTGTACAGACACAAATATTTCAGCTTCTAATGGCCATTAGCAGGGCTGCAGACAAAAAGTCTTGTGCTTGATGTCTACTTAATGTGTGTCATTTGTCCATGATTGTTTGCACGTGTACATTCCTGCAGGTGCGTGCCAGTGCCATAGCCCAGGATGCAGACCAGAACTATGACTATGCCAGTAACAGCGCTGTGCTGCATCTGGAACCAGGAGACGAGGTCTACATTAAACTTGATGGTGGCAAAGCTCATGGAGGCAACAACAACAAGTACAGCACGTTCTCTGGATTCATCATCTATGCTGATTAACAACACAACACATCCTTCAGCTATTACAAACCTCATGGCCCAGTCCTTCTACAAATTTCCCGTGCAAATAAGATGCTCAGACTTTTAAACATGTGCGGAAAAAACCACTAGTCTTCATAACCTGCATATTATTTTATTTTCTACATTCTGCCATCATCACAGTCCTCAGTGCAAGTGACTTTGGACTATAACATTCATGAAATGGTTGAATTGTGTGGATCAAATCATATAACCTATAATCATAAACTATATTTATGGTGATAATTAATAGGTAAGCTGTTAATGTATGTGCTATTTCCTTTTTCTTTATATAATGTTGTGAAGATAGCAAGGAAAAGCTGAACAACACTTGAAGTGCAATATGATACACTGGAAGAAGATTATAATTCCTTCACAGTATTTAAACCTGTACACAGGATACAATATATATTTTTTCTCATGTTCTGATTTTAATATTAATCATTATCTACTGATGATGGTGATTCCTCATCATTGGTTTGCAGCACCACTTCCATTAAAGCATTATTGAAATTCTTTCATGAATGGATTTTACACAATTGACAACTCCTAAGCCTGTTCAGAACAGAGCAGAAACACTGTTGCTTATACCACTGGTTCCCAAACTGGGGGTTCCGACCCTCACTAGGGGTCCCCAGAGCTTCCTAAGCAGTTGCAAAGCCTTCTTGATTTTAAGGGGTAAAAAAAAAACTCAGACAAAAAACAAATCACTCTTTAAGTTACTGAAGTACACGGTTAAAACAATCAAAGAGTTATAGGACAACAAGAAGATGATAAGGAAACACTAAATTTGTCAAAAAAAAGGGTTATTTATGATTGTTTAATAAATACATAATACAGACAGAAAATTGTATAAAAAGCTCCAAAAATATCAGGAAAACACATCTCTGATGTTATAGCCACAGGAAATAATCTACTTGTCTCAAGATGCTCTTTACTCTAAATCCCACATTTCCTTTCCGATGACTGCAGGCTATTTCTGTCATAGGTAATACATGTTTCAGCAATAATGTCAAAAGGAGGAGCTACCGGCATCTGTGTGTGCAGCCATTCTAGTCCTGATCGAGACGATTTTGGCTTAGCCCTTTAAAATCCAATCAGACATCATTTAATTAGGTTTTCCACAATTAAGCAGAAAATACAATACAATACAAATTAAAACAAAAATGTAGTTAGTTATCAACATTATTTATTTATTGTTGACAGAACATTGGTCCCTTAAGGATAAAGGTTGGGAACCACATACTCACAAAACACTAAATATCAGGTTTGGTCTCTTTTATGTCCAGTAGCCCCACATGTTTCTGGATAACTCATTTTATTTATTAATTGTATTATTACTCTCAGCTCCTGAATGCTCGGTGTTCCAACAATTGAGCGACCCCCAGTCAGAACCTTGGTCAACTTTCTCATTTTTGAAGATGGTTAACAGATAAGGGATATAGGCTATAGATAATCATATTTTAAGCAAGCTAATGTTAACAAAACTGTTACTAACTAGCTAGCTAATCTACATAAATTAGATTACTGATCTGATAGCAGATGTTAACAAAATGCAAGGTAATTAGCTAGCTAATGATTAATGTAGATTAGCTATCTTGTTAGCTAGCATTTTGTTGACATTAGCTAACAGTAGCTAAACTGAGATGTGATTATATATGTATATAATTTTTTTTATATATACAAATTTTGAAGATGGCTAGAATGTAAAAACGATATACACAAAGTTGACCAAGGTTCCAAAAAGGGGCAGGACTTAGGAAGGATCAATTGTGCCATCTAGCCCACAGTATTTGTATTTGCTTAAGTGCTGGGATTTCATTATTCAAGTGTGTCTCAGTGAGCTCTAATAAACGTCCACACAATAATGGCACTGTGGCAAATACCAGAAATACATCAAACAAGCAGAGGCTTGACTACTCCCACATACCACAAGTGTGGGTATTGGTACTGCTACATAGTCACTCCAGCTTACCAACCCTACTCCACTTTCTTGATTATTGACCCACCCACTGCATTCCACTCTACTCCATCTACTTAAAGAAACAGTCAAAAAAAAATCCAAGACAGTAGCTTCTATGGGTCTAAACATTTCATTTCACTAGCAAGGACAACACCATACATAAGATATGTCTGAATGATTATTAACAAAACAAAAAGATGATGAGCAAAGCTTTAAATCTTGTATTTTTTCCGATGCTGCGCAATTTGTTTGGAAGCTTCTGTGGAAAATCTGCTGTAGCAACTGGGTACAATGGACCCCCTTAGGACCCTATGGAGAGTAGGCAGAAGAGTAAGAAATAAAAAATGGGTGCGAGGGGAAGGACTTAGAATATGAGAGTAAAGGAGGAGGGGAGGGTTAGGGTTAGGGTTAGGCATACGTGAGGTATGGTCCTGCTTGTGAAACTCTGCTAATAGGTGCAAATTTAAATATCTTTTGCAGCCATATCCGCCTCCCTGCCCTTCCATCCCCCGACCTGTCAGCCAAATGACACAATTTACCACAAATGTCTCTTCTCCCAGTGCAGTTGCAAAATCATTTTGCGGTATTTTTCCTCTAACCTCTTGTTACACAGCTCTGTAACACTCAATTTACACTTCCTTTGTGCTATTTTTGACTGTTCAATTACAAATCAAGCTTTATTATGTGATTATTCCAGGTACATGGTTAAAATATTGTACTGTTTTGTTGGCAGCTAAATGGTTGTAGAAAATAATTAAATGCAGGTAATGTGAAGCAGCCTAGACAACTTTCCACTCCTGGTATAAACCAAATACAGATATGAATACAGATATTTTTGTGACATAGACAGATACATGGTACAGATACATTTGTTTGTTCGTTAGTTGTTCAAGGTGCTCACACAATGTTAAAGAATAGAAATAATACTTATATTACAATCTAACACAATATATATAGAATAAAAATGGACTGTACTTATTTAGCACCTTTCAAGTCTTCCAACCACTCAAAGCACTGTACACTACATGCCACACTCACTCATCCACACACATTCTTACATTGATGGCAGTGGCTGCCATGCAAGGTGCCACTTACACTTTACCGGTGATCAAACCACCAACCTTCTGATTAGTGGATGACCCGCTTTACCTCTGAGCCACAACCACCCACAAATGTATATATAGGTATATACATATGAGTAAAAAATATAAATAAAAATGGAAATGGAAATAATAATAATAAGAGCCTATGCAACTTATAGTAATAATAATAAAATATATACAATAGATGCTGATATATGCAAAGTAATGTATGCCACAGTATGTGACTGACAGAAATGAAATGAGTAATAGTAGTGAGTTTTTAAAGATTGTGGTATTGCAGAAGTTATTAATTATTACAAAGAATGAGGGAATAATTACAAGAATTACATAATAATTACAAAGAACTGATTAGCATTGCTATTATTATTTCCCATTATTTTCAAATTTTCTACAGATAACATTGTTATTGTGAATTATTTTGACCTAAACCATGAGAAAAATCTGATATTGTGACAGTTTGTGCTAGTATTTGACCAACAATTGCTAGGCTAGACTGTGCACAACATTTTGCTAACAAGATAAACAAAGATACTCCTTCCTATTTAAATGCTTTATGCTAAATTAAACACAATGGAAGTGTTTCCCCCAAAATGTCAGACTGTTTAACCACACAGCAAACAAAGTTAATTTAATTCAGTGCTTCCTGAGATTCAGGGGTGAGTTATTAAAAGCCAAACATTAATGCTGTTAAGGGCATACAGCTCACATACCTTTAGGTACAGTGTAGACCTACTGAAACAAATAAAATTGAATTGAACATGGAATATGAAATCTTTAATGAATCAGTTATTACCAACCAACTATGGCTGTTGGTCATTGACAGTAGTGGTTGTACCTTTGACATTATAATCACAAAGTTTGCCAGAGCAGACTGAATGTGCACACATTCTTTTTTTGCCCATGAATGCGTCATGACTGGAAGATGTATGATGTTACATGAAACCAACATACATGATATTGGTACAGTATCTATCAAAGTAGAAAAAGCTCTGATTCAAAAATGTGGTGAAATAAAAAAGAAAGTTCCTAAACATCAACAGTATAGTGTAAATATAGTAATAGACTTTTGGCTGACAACATGGTTGTGCTGGCACCAGTGCTTTTATTTGGCTGGGAACCAGTGACTCACAGTACAAACTGGCTATAAATATGGAAACTGCAAGAAACAGTCGAGGGGTTTTTCACATGGCATCACAACAAATGAATGACAAATTAATGTTTACCAGTTCCATCCAAGCAGCAACCATGGCTCCAATATGTCTACAAGACTCTATTATGTTTATTTAAGTTGTTTACTTGATTGACTGTGTTCACGCCTAACTTGTCAAATTCTGTAGTTTGGTCAGTGGCCCTCTGCTCCAAAATATGACACCGTAGGTATCCCTTGCGATGTGCCGCCAGATGTAGCCTTGTGTAACGAGCCTAAATTACCTTTTTAAAATTATATATGTAATTAACTGGCCAAGTAGTTTTTGTGCATAATCTTAAGCAAATTGCGTCTGTTTCACGTTTACCACGCAAGCATTATTTTGAAACTCTTACTGGACATTGTATATTTATCATTGCTAACTTCACCGTGGAGCCCTGCATGTCCAGACAAAAGACCTACAAAGTCCAATTTTGTAGCAGAAAGCGACTGACCAAGCGGTAGTATTTGACAAGATTTTTTTCACCTGTCCGTATGTTTCTGAAAGATTTAAGGAGAGAAATAGGCAATGCAGTAAAAGAGTATTGATTCATATTTGATCAGCAGTCTAGTTGGACTGATCTGAGTTTCGTGCGCTGGATGGACTCACTGAGAATGACTTGTCAATCACAAGGTAGCCACGTCCTATAAGCATACTCTGCTTTATCATTTATTTTACTATAAATGGGACCATAATTTACAAAATGAACATCATGCTATATTGAAGAAG